CTTCTTTTATATCTAATCAACAGCTGGATGTCACCACTGAATGGCTATAACACAGTGGGTGCAGAATTTATCCTGCAGCAAAATATGTGATTGTCTAGATCTTGTTAATTGTTTCAGAAGTCCAGTTTAATGTGATTGTGTGTATTTCTCAAGAGATTTACATGGAAGAAGGCAAACACCCTCTGTTTTACAAAATTACAGTACTGCATTGCAATTAACTCCTTCTGTGCTGTAATATATAGGGCTCAGTCCTGCAAGGTGGTGAGCACTCTCACCCCAGTTGAGCTAAGCACTTAAGCACATGAGTAGTAGTAAAATTAAGCATATGAGTAATTCCATTGATGTTTAGCACATGCTGGCCTGGGCAGAATCAGGGTCAGAGTGCTGAGCAACTTGCAGGCTCAAACTCTTATAGCTTTAGATGTATGTTGTATGCCAGGTGTTCCTGTTAAATAGACTTAAAATATGTACTTATAATTTCTTCCTGCGTGTATGTAGTTATGTCTGAGTACAACTGTAAAAAAGTATGGTTGAATTCACTGCTAATCTTACAACTGGCAAATTCCTAGCAGTTCAGAAACATTATCTCACCCCCAGAAAGCTGTGTTTTAGTGATGGAGAAGTTCTGAATATTACCTTTTAGCTTCACAACAGTGATCTCCCATGAGGTATAGAGCACTTCCCAGCTGTTCTCTTTCCAGAACTGATCATATCAATTGCTGTTATGTGTCTATATAAAACAGAATACTATATACAGTAGACAAGGACTTTGAGGGGAAAAAACTCTCAAAAAAGGCTTTGTATGGTTCATGTGTCTTACAGACTGTATGGGATCAATTTACAGCAGTGTCTAAATATCAGTAATTTTAGCAGGAGTTGGGTCACGTTTCCAACAGAATTTGTCTGAACTTGTGCAATATGATGCAGAAATAAATGAGCAAACTGAATTCTTCTTTTTTTCCCCCTGTAAATGAGAGGGTGGGATTTATAAAGGAAGCTGAACACTTAGGAAGACTTGGTACAGCTTTCATGCCTCAGCACCAAAGCATATTTAAAATACCTGCTGATTTGTAAATATATGACTTACTGCTGCAAATAAAATGTTTATAAAAGAGAAAATTTGACATGACACATATTGTAATTATGTCTTTCTTGTGGATGGCATTTTAATTTTGAAAATCTGGGGATAATTCTCTTTAAAAGATATCTCCTCAAAAGGCTCAGGTACTTACCCCAGGTGGGCTTCAGTAGCAAGGAATTCTGGCTTTTACAGATTATACTTTTGTAGTCAAATTGATATTAGGAAAGGATTAATTTGTTTGGTAACAGAGCAATTATCTGTTTTTATATAACTTTTTTTCAAGCACTAAGTCTTTAGTGCAAAAAATAATCAAAAACATTTACTCTTTTACAGGTTGCTATTTCTAATAAATACCCTGAGGATATTTCTTAGATAGAAGAAGTTTGTGTCAGTTGTATCTGCATGACATTACCCAGAAAAAAATATGAAATAAAATTGGATCTTCCCTTACATAATGTGCATAGCTAGGTCTGCAGCATTCTGTATTCTGGGGTTTCTAGCCAGTTAAGTGATAGATTAATTTTAAGCAAGTCCTTTGGGGCCAGATCCACAAAGGTACTTAGGCTCCTAAATCCCATTTTTAGGCACCACTGTGATCCACACACACCCTACTCAGCTGCCACCTAACCCTGTAGGTGCCTAAATTCATTCAGCATCTGTTTATTTCAGTAAAAGCTCGCTGGGTGCCTATGTTTTTGCCTCTGGGCATGTACACTTCTGCCTCAATCTAGGTGTCTGTACTCCTGTCTCCCACCTAAATCCCAGTGTGATCTGCAAAGCAGGAGAAGACAGGCACTCCTGTTGCCTGCAGGGCCCAGTCTGGTAGGTGTGCTCAGAGGCTACTGAACTCCAAAACAGCTGGGAGGGTGGAGGGAAGGAGGAATCTACTTCATAAACTTTTAGCTCAGTGGTTAGGGCAATCCGCTGGGATTCAGGAGACTCCCAGTTCAGCTGCCAGTCTGCCTGACAAGACAGGAATGGGAGTTGAACAGGGTACTGCCACCTGCTGGATGAGTGCCCCAGTCACTGGACTATGGGACATTCTGGTGTGAGTCTTTCTCCCATTTCTCCTACTCCGGTGGTATCACTTGAATTAACTATTGGAATAATTAAATATTATTTGGGCCAGTGAAAGTGTGAAGATCCCTCTGTAGTCCAGTATGTAGGGCACTCCCCTGAGAGGTAACAGATCCCCACCTAATTCCCTTTTTCTCCTGAGGCAGATGGGAGTCTTGAACAAGGGGGTCTTCCACATCCCAGGTGAGTATCTTTACCATGGGGCTAAAGATTAGAGGTGCAGTCCATCCTTCTGGTCTCCTTGTACGACACAAATGCCTAAGCTCATTTTCCCAAATCAATACCTAGATACGGGGATCAATTGTAAACATGATGTTGTAATTCATTATGTTTTCATAATGATATTTTGAATTGTTTGTACATCAGCCTTTGTGCTCCATGAGGGAGGGGGATTAAATATATTTCTCATCTATCAGCCTATATCAGACATTTGTGTGAAAAATGAGCAGACTTTTTGTGGTTTATTTTCAATGAGGTGACTTTGCTTACACAAGGAACTATATTCCCCAATGGAAATGCTCTGCTGAAATGCATTTCCTGATGAGCTTAATAAGTGTGTTGAATAATTTACTTCTGAGAGGGAGTGACATATGTTTGTGATGATATTAAACATAATTTTATCAACAACTTGTCTTAGAAAATAATTTGTAAATGATCAGGATAAAGTTATACGGCTCCATCCAGCCAGGTGCTGAGTGCCTCCTGCAGAATGGGCAACATCTTGCAGGACCTGGCTCACAGTATTAACAAAAATCTATACGGTAAAAAGATGCATTACTCAGGATCAATACACTTATCTAAGAATTTTGCTGCAGAAAACTACTTTGGTGATGGAATTTAGCATGTTTCTTAATCTGAAAGAGAATTAGCCTCAATGAATTAGCATAAATTATACTTCTGTAGTTTTGTATTACTCGTTGCAAAGAATACTTTTCATTATAATCCTCACCAAATGGCTTGTTTGTTTGTTCTGCAAGCGTGTGTGTGTGTGTGTGTGTGTGTGTGTGTGTGAGAGAGAGAGAGAAAATTAGATCTCTGCACCTCCCGTTTGCTTTCTTCTCTTTTAGTCTATGTTTAGACTATGAGCTGGGGTATGGTTCCCAGCTCGCGTACACATACTTGTGCTAGCTCTGACTGTACTAGTGTACCTGTGGTAGCATGGGCAGCAGCGGTGGAGGTGGCACAGCTAAATCATGCTGCTGCTGTCCATGCTACCAGGGCTACGTAACTCACACTTGCACTAGCTCTCATCGAGCTAGCATGAGGATGTGTAGTGAGCTGGGAATCACAACTCTAGCTCATAGTGTAGATGTAGCCTTAAAGAGAGTGTTTTCTGCTGAAAACTCAGATTTTAACAGGGTTTAGTTTTCATGGCAGACTAAAACATAATCACTTTTGACCTACAGTAGCCACCTAGGGTTTCACTTTGGCCCCATAAAACGCAAATTAAAAACTCTGCACCCAACACAAATAGAAGAAGAAAATTACGGGCTAATATATTATGATTATTTTGTAATAGGCTGAAAAGAAAGACCCCTGGATTTAATGTTTCATCTAGTCAGTCATGTAATATAAATGACTAGCTAAATGAATCTCCCTGTATAATCTTCTTCTGCATTTTAAAAAAAGAAAACTGTGCTTCAGTTCTGTTTTTCTTCTGGCAGTAATCTGAGGAGCATCTATTTTATGCTGTATTGAGATTAAATATTTCATAAAAGGAGTTTAAAATCAAGTGGTATCCGCATTTTACATTTTTGTTAGGTTAGTTCAGGTCAGCTAGAATGCATGCGCCCTTCTTAGATGATACAGCACTCTGCATTTACAGACATTTACATTTAAACTATAATTGGAGAATTTGATTCAGCAGTCCTTTCTGCTAAAGACTTATTTTTGTCATGAAGTAAGCCTGCCACCTGCTGGAGGTGCTTCAGTAATGAATGTTGTCTCATTGGGAGGATTGTGCCCGCAGATCTGTGCATATGATCTTCCCTTCTCCAGCCTGGCAGAGAGGTGTCCATCCACTGGACCCTGCCAGGCAGCTTTCCTGCTGATCTGGGGATCTGCATAAGTGAAAGGTGTGGGAGGCAGCAGGCTGGAGAAGGGATCGAAGGTAGTGCTTAAAAGCTGCACATTGTCCTCTCCCCTTCTGTCCTAGCAGAGGTGATTTTTTCTGTGGCCTACCTCTGTTATATCCTCACTTCCAGGGAGCACATGTGCACATAGTTGGGGACAGATAGCTAGTGTGGAGGTACAGAGCTCCATGTAAATGGCCTTTGTTTCGAATTGATACTTCAAGCTGCACATGACTCCTTTAGTGGGGGGGATGGATGGGGGGGAGGGAGAAGCCTTCTTGACATGAGAAATCTGTGCTAGGGAAACCTCATGCTTTTGCACTTACAAAGTGCACTCTTACAGGTTTGGTTATGGAAAGAGGAGATCTGACCCACTGAGGCTGTATAGCGTTAGACCCCAATGTAGCGGCTGATCAGGGGATGATTTGGCCTCAGACATTAATTAGATTGCTTTGTGCAGTGAAGGGGCTGTTCTAGCAGTTGGGAATAGCCAGAGGACATAGACTATGCCCACTGTCCCCCTATATCTGTGTAGTTGGAGTGACACAAAGAGACTGTATTGTATCAGAATCAGGCACATAGTGTTATGTCTGTGTAACTTGGAACTTCTTGCACTGAAGACAGGTTTATTGAACATATCTGTGTGTGCAAACAGAAAAAAGTTGAAATCATTAAAATATATACTTAGTGCTTTAGAAGGGCCAATTTCACAAAGCTGAAAACAATTATGAGCTGAATTAGTAGTGAGCGAGAATTAAAACAGACAAATGTGAATGGCAATTGGGAATTGTTTAATAATATTTGACCAGATGAGCAGAAAGCCACAATCTCATAATAAAAAAAAGGCCACAATGGTTAAAAAAATTACCTGGTCTTAGAGGGGAACTAAATGCAGCTATAAAATAATAATAAAAATAATGATTATTAATAATAATATATATTACTGTTAGATGTAAAATGCATTCTTTTGTTTCATTTCTGAAGTCTGGACTCTGTAGGATAATTTAATCATCACTTCAGAAGTCTGATTTATCTTCTGAGACAGGTGGAAAAACACTCATAAGAGTTCACAATGTCTCTCTGTATATGTTTAATATAGATTTCATTAAGTAGAATACAATTTAAAGATGAATAAATTATAAAATGATTATATGACAATGTGTACAAGTTTTAATAAATTAATTTAACATAGAAAATCACCAGGGTGTAAGAGATCACATAACAGTAAACTGGTCTTATCAGAAAGCATCAGCTTCTCTAATTCTATTCTATATATTCTGGACAGGTGTTCTTGGTGCCAGTATGGAACCTTTAATACAGATCCATATTAAATATCATTTAAGCTTGATACCAATCAAGAGGTCAATCAAAAAGCATTCTAAAATTCAAAAAATAGAATTTAGAATTTAAATGATTACTTAACTGTTGATTTATTCTTACAAAGATTAGGCAATTCTTAAGACAAGGCAAAAGACAGTTCACACTCCCTCTCTTGTGTATGTATATATTCATATATTATACTAAAATATACAACTCCTCTGCCTAAGCTCCCCAAAACAAACCAATCTACATTAAAACACGTCATTAAGGTTGCAAAGTCAAGGATTCCAAGTTAGGCAATGTCAGAACTAAGGTTGTCTGTGCAGGCATCTGATATGGAAGATTTCAGGCTAAACAGTTAAAGTTTGGCAAAGTTATAATCAACTGAAAACAGGGTCCTATAATGGGAAGTGTCAGGCCTTCCTACAGTAAAGAGAGACTGTGCCAGTGGGTATTCTCTCAAGATGGGGAAAATAAAGGCTTTTTTATGATGGCTTAACCAGTGCAAAGTGACCACAATGCACTTATGTATGATGCCATACATTTCTACTTAACACTCAGATATGCAAAGAAAAGATTATGGAGGATGTATGTGGATGGATACTACATTAGCAACATATAAACATAAAATGCTTAGATACATTTGTATTGTCTGTTTTGGAGTTGTGGTTTATAGAAGGAAGTGCTCTTTGCTGTTTGCTGTGATTGAGTTTCTATTGTGTGCTGTAATTTTAAGAGGTTACGTTGGAACAAGTTGATGCATTTCACTTTTTACACAAACAAAATTTGTTTCCAGTTAAAGAAGAATCACTGGTTTATTTGCTTGTTGAAGCTAAGCTTTCGAGCAGACTAATAATTTCCTTCTCTTCTGAGAATGCCTTCCATTGCCTGAGGGCTTCCCACTCCTGCCAAGGTGCTTCTGTCTCATCAGGACAAGAAATAGTGAGTCAGATCCCCAGCTGATATAAACCAGCATAGCTCTATTGAAAGCAGGTGAAGCAAAACACATTGTGGTGTACTGAAATGTGGTTATGACTTACAGGGCCGGCTCCAGCATTTCTGCCGCCCCAAGCAAAAAAAAAAAAAAGGCCGCGATCGGTGGCGGCAGTTCAGCAGCAGGTCTTTTGCTCCTAGAGGGAGTGAGGGACCTGCTGCCCCCGAATTGCTGCAGGTGCTGCCCCTCTCCCTGGGCCGCCCCAAGCACCTGCTTGTTAAGTTGGTGCCTGGAGCCAGCCCTGATGACTTATCACTTCATAGACTTATCACTTCTGGATTTAATTTTAAACTATGTAGGGGCTAGCCTAGTGAGAGACCCTACTCTGCAAGAAACGCTAGTTTACTTAGGGTAAAGTTCTCCTGTGGTGTGGAGAACTAGCATGAGACCCTCTGCACCACAGTGCTTAGCTGCTACACAGAGGTTGTATGGGGGCTTTACTGAGTGGCTAGAGGAGGTGCCTATACCCATCCCTAAATGCTATGCTAAGGGTCTCAGATACTCATGCTTTATGTTGGTGGAGTGGGGATCACCCTTTCATTGTGTATGCAGCTTGGCTAGGTATATGTGCACTAGCTTTAATCTAGCTATCATGGCTAAAAATAGTAGCAAAGATGTGGTAACGTGGACCCCAGCCCAGGCTAGGAATGCACATTCGCACCCAGGGTTCTGGGCAGGCTTCCACAGCCTGTGCTATTGTGTCTTCACTGCTATTTTTAGCTGTGCTAGCTAGATTAAAGCTAGTGTGGGTATGTCTATCCAGGCTGAAATCAGACCTTCAGTTGCATCATAGACATACCCCATGTCTAACTTCTGTACCTCATGTCAGCAGGGTCAAAGATTGCTGTAGAAAGTGCATGTAGCTTCTTGGCAGTGGGGGGTTTAGCTCTTTAACAAGTCTGCTGGCTATTTTAGTAGTGGTATTGCTGGAGTATGTAAGTCAGTGGTCTGAGTAATCTCTCTTGCTACTTATTGATGAACTAGAGGAAAAAACTCAAGATCAGACCTTAGGTGTCTAAACACACCTACTTTGCCAGGGTGATCAACTTTGCTGTTTTAGGTTAAAATTCACTTAAATCTTGGATGCATGGGTAATGAAATATTGTTATTCTTACTGCATGACTAAAGGACAGCAGAATCATACTTAATATGTCCTAATTCAGGGGCTCGCTAGAACAGTAACCTCACTTGCTCAGTGTGGGGGTAGTGATTCAAATCCAAGTGAAAATCAGAGGGGAACAGGTGTTTCTATTTGGTGGTGAGGAGTGTGTTTAACAGTTCTAGATGATCTTCTTCCTTCAGACAGAGCTGCTTGGACTCAATTACAAGTCCTTGTTTCTTTTCAGTGATCACTAAAGCTGAAGTTACTGGTAAGCTGGTCAAAGGGACTGAGTCTTAGACCTGGTGTGAAAACAGTGTTGTGATAAAAGGCAACACAGAGAAGGGAGCAGCAGTGAATTTCCCCGCTATCCAGTGAGATCAATACAGCTGTGATCACTAAGAGACAGGCGAGGTGGTGGAATCCAAAAATGTGGCACTGTGGCTAAAGGCAGCATGGTGAGAGATGCAGCAATGGCATCAAAGGTGCCCTGTGATTGCTAATAGCTGGGTCAGTTGGTCATGGTGCAGTAGAGCTGGACTGGACCAAGGACACAGCAGAACAGCAGTCGAGGTGGCAGTGACAGCTGCAAGCAGCAACGGCAGAAAGAGCAGCAGTCCTCAATGAAGGTGTCAGTCCTCTCCAGGGGGACCTCTAGACTTGGGATCTTTGCTGACCTTGGACAACAACCCATGAGTAGAGTGTAGAATAGGGAAAGGAGGAAGGGTGTATTGAAGGGATATTTGTCCATTGGACTTTCACACTGCAAGGTGGGAAACTGAGGCAAAGGACACCACCCAAGCTGCTGAGGGATGGGTGTTGGTGTACTTTTGAATCCTCATTGCTGTGTTTTCCGAAATTAATGCTGTATTCTCTCTCTTTAATAAACATTTTTGTTTACATAGACTCAGTGCTTGCGAGTGGGGAAGTATTATCCATTAGAGGTGGCCATAGGAGGTATCTAGTTTTCTCAGATCTCTGTGTGGGAGTCTGAGTTGGTATAATGTTGTAATTTTAAGAGGAACCCCTAGATACTGAACCCAGCCCTTGTTGCTGCTGACCCCACCTGGCAGAAGAGCTACAGGTGGGAAATACTTGCTTTCAGTCAGTGGGTACATAGCTCTCGTGGTGACAGGCAGAAACCCACCTATTAAAAATAAAATCAAATTCATTATGTATGTGCGGTGTCTGGGAAGAAAGGAAGCGATGGTCTGGGGATCAGATGTGGCTGTCAGGAGCTCTCGATTTCTAACTCTACTACTGACCTGATGTGTGTCCCTGAGCAAGTCTCTTAAATGCTGTGCCTCATTTTCATGCCTCAGTAATAGGGGGATAACAGTTACTTACCTAACTCACAGAAATCAGAACTAAATGGTTAATAATTGTACAGTGCTTTGAATATGTAATGTTCTACTATATGTCTATGTGCTGGTTATTGTCAGGTATCATGGTACTTGATGGCATCATGGCAAAATTGCCCAGTAAGAATAAAATTAAAAGTTATGTGCAATTACAGCAAGTAGAAATAAAATCACTCCTTTAGACTTGTCAGTGAAATTAGGCACACAATTTGTAAATGTCAATGAACCCAGGTTTCTAAAAATGCCAGTTTGTTCTGATCCTTTCAGACAGTTTCTTTTATAAGCTCAGCCAGCTTCTGGAAAGCCTGCAATGAAAAAATAAAAAGAGAAAAAGGTTGAGTTGACATAATACTGATAGCAGTCACTAACACAATGACCACTGATATCAAACTGTTAATAATCACTATTCTCCAGCTTTTCCATGTACATGTTGTTCAGAACACTATGTCTGCAAGGCATTTCAGCAATATCTCATCAAGTACGTGTGTGTATATATACACACACCCCAACACAACACCCTTTCCTCACCACTGCACACTGCTTTGAGAATTTGACCTTCAAGGCATAGCTGGATTTGACCAGTTTGCAATGGCTTGATGAGCTGGTACTTTTGCCCCATGCTTCAGAATTTAAGCATTAAGGCAATTGTCAGTATCAGAAAATATTTTTTCATAACGTGTCAAGCATCTCCTTAGTGATAATATAGTGACATTGTTCTGCAGTAAACAAAGCACCAACCAGTGAAGAGAGAGGGAGAAATATGCCACTACTCCAGCAGACAGGGTCAGTCTCAAACTACTGTAGTCAGCGGGGAGAAGTATGATTATATTTGCAATTCTTGTGTCTTAGGTAGCACAATAAATGTGTTAGAAAGCAAAATAAGATTGCCTTCTTGAGAAATACACATGGAAATACTGAAGTATGTAAAAAAAGTTGAGGGTTGATTTTGCTTTCTTTACCCTAAAATTGTATTAGCAGCCACTAATCTTGCTTATTCATCTAAAACTGTGAAAACATGGTGCAGATTCTCTCTATGCTGCTTTTCTAAATCATATTTTGTATCTATTACAGCAAGATACCCAGAGAGTGCTTTATAATACACAATGGATAAATAACCCATGGAACTCACAGCCACTAGGCATTAGTGATCACAAACTTAAGAGGCTTTAAAAAAAGGATCGGATATTTCTATGGTTAATAAGAACCATCGTTGTTAGATACCAAAAGACATAGATGGGATATTAACTCTCACACATCAGGGCATAAGCCAACCTCTAGATGACTGTAGCTAGGAACAAACTTCCCCTGTGGGCTGACTATTCTGTAATTTTCCACCATAGGGGCTCTTGCATTGTCTTTTGAATCATCTGGAACTGGTCACTGTTGGAGACAGATAGAAGGAAAGATGGGGCAGTGGTTCAGGTGCTAGTCTGGGATTTGGGAGAATTGGGTTCATTTCCCTGCTGCATCACAGACATCCTGTGTGACCTTGGGCAAGTCGCTTAGTCTCTCTGTGCGTCAGCTCCCCTTCTTTAAAATGGGGATAATGCCCACCTGACGGAGGTATTGTGAGGATAAATGTTACAGATTGTGAAATGCTTTGGCACAACAATAATGGGGGCCATATTAGTACTTAGATAGGATTCTAACTAATCATCAAGCAACGACTTACATACTCGCTCATATACTGGGCTGTTAACCATTCAGTAAATTACTTTGTACTTTAAGGTATCCTTGTTGCCTGCCTTTCTCCCCATCATCTCTCTTCAATTTTGCATGATTCATTCCACCATTCAAAATAAACAGAGTTGATTATGGTGCATAATTTGGAGAGAATTTTAAATGTGATTATGGGGTAAACAACACTGGATATTATAATGTTAGGCAGTGGTTCACAGTGGGCAGGAAAAGGGGGACAAGAGTGTCGAACTTGCTACTCATCTGTACATCCACCAGAATGTATTATAAATTTAAAAGCTTAGATGAGACAGACTCAGTATCAGAAAACCAATAACCATCTTAACAGAGGAAAAAGAAAATCAATTTTCTGCAGCAGTTAGGAAGAAGACTGTGATTTATACTCACCTACAACTGTGTGTGTATGGATCTGTGGTTGATACATGAATGGGAATTTTATGCACACACATCAAGAGGACAACTTACACTTAAATTAGAATCTTGGTCCCAGTGGGTCTAGTAAATAATCAAACTTTTAAAATGAGACTTGAACTAATGACTTTCCATAAAATAAATGCTAGTTTTACTTTGGTAGAAATGCAAGAAAAAGGGTCTTCAAGTCCAATATTAGTCTGCATGCAAACAACAAATTTACATGAACAATAGAATCTGATCATGTAAGTCGCCCCAGTGATGCACAACACCACCAGTTACACTCACCTGGTCCATCTGGTCTGGAGAAGCAAAAGAATAGGAAGCTCTGACATAGGGAGTAGGAGCTGAGCTATCAATGCTAAACGATTGTCCAGGAACCAAAGCCACCTAAGAATGATGTTACTGACTTTAATGTTTTGAATGCAAGGAAGTTTGAGAGGATGGCATGTAAAATAGGACCATTACACTATCCCGTATCAGAAACTGTTTATAGTTATACCAAGTTTATCTCATTTTAGACATAGCTAATAGGCAGAAAAGACCCACAACTAGTATCAAACTGGGGAATTCTTTGCTTCAGTATCTAGTAAAATCTAAGGACTCTATTCAGCCTGCACTGAATGAATATAGCTTCCCTGGGAATCTACAGGCCAAATGTAGTGGAATGGTAAACAATGGTTTAAATTACGTGTCAGGTGCGAGTTAGTCAGAAAATGGATGTAAGTGGTGAACTTCAAGCTGTGCTAAACTTGGACTTGTACTAATTGAGTATTCAGCAGGTGTGCAGCAAACTGAATAACATACACATCTAGGATCAAGGAAGCAGGGGGTGGGGGAAAGGGAATAACAGGCAGAGCAAATACAGCAAGGTGTGAGAAAAAGCTGATCAGCCACGAAATTTAGCTATGTCCACAACATTCTCAAAATTCCTGTCGTCAAATTTAGCTTAGGTGTAATTGGCTATAACTCTCATTGACGTCAATGAAGATAATATCCTTTTGTGCCAGAAGTTGAACTTGGCCCCTACAGAATTTGAAATTAGAAATATCACCCATTTTTGACTAGCTTCTGACGTGAGATCATTTACAACAGTATAACACCGTATACAACACTGGTGAATTTGGTCTGGTGTTTTAAGGAGGTGGCATTTGTGGTCTGTTAGGGGGAGGAAGTGGGGATAGTAGGGGTCTGCATAAAATGGAAGGCTATGTGACAATATAATAGTGGAACCGAATGGATGTTGGCCTTTAAAAAGACTTCAGAGTGGTAGCTGTGTTAGTCTGTATCAGCAAAAACAATGAGGAATCCTTGTGGCACTTTAGAGACTAACAAATTTATTTGGGCATAAGCTTTCGTGGGCTAAAACCCACTTCATCGGATGCATGGAGTGGAACATACAGTAGGGAGGTATAAATACATAGCATATGAAAAGATGGGAGTTGCTGTATATTTATACCTCCCTACTGTATGTTCCATTCCAGGCATCCGATGAAGTGGGTTTTAGCCCACGAAGCTTATGCCCAAATAAATTTGTTTGTCTCTAAAGTGCCACAAGGACTCCTCGTTGTTTTTTAAAAAAACTGTAAGTTTCATCCTTGTGATTGTAAAGGGATCCATATTG